TCCACGTGTTCTGTGACTGGACTACATATTTGCCATTGCTGTTCTGTTCGTCGTCACTTCAGGAGAAGATCAGGACTGTGGGGAGTTCGAGGATATGTACCTGGTGGTCTTCATGTCGACATTGCTCCAGATGCTGATGTGGAACTGATTAGTTGTGCCACGTGGCACATTGAGGATACTCGGATACTCATTCAGACTATTGATTGATGAGGTGGCAGTAGAGGAGGGAGCCCGAAGCAGGAGTGGGCATTTTTACTTCCTCTCCTTTGTCTCTTCTCCCTCCTCCCTCTTCGTCTGTGTATGATATCTCACCTCATTCTGTCTGATCACGATTTTTGACAATTTGTAATTATCAGCCGATGGGCATTTTCTGGACTTGCATTGTTGACAACTGTCTCACGATCTGGGTCCATTACATGCATATGAAAGAGCAAGAAGAGGAATCAATATTGTTGACAGGTAAGGAATTTCTCAGACGACTTTGAAACTAGGCCGGCGAGAGTAAAAGGGTCTTTACCCGATTCAGCCCCYGACTGACGAGTGCAGCACAGTGGGGTCACTCGCCCAGAGCCCCAACTCGTGAAAAGCAGATCAACAGGCATGTTCTCTGGGTCAAAAGTCACATCCCAACTAAAGTAAAAGTCAATGCTTAAGGTCACAGTTGTGTCCCTGGACGAACAGTTGTAATATTCAGATAAGGGAGTCACATCTGTTCATCCAGGGGGTGTGCAGGTCAAGATTTTTTGCTTATTTGAGTCTATTTACAGCTTCTATGTTAGGACTTGTTCTAAGTCCCATGTCTGTTCGAGCAGTAAATGTGTCTGTTCGTGCAGTATGTGTGTCTGTTCGAGCAGTAGATGTCTGTTTGTGCAGTATGTGTGTCTGTTCGAGCAGTAGATGTGTCTGTTCGTGCAGTATGTGTGTCTGTTCAAAGGAAGTCCAAAGGATAAAGTCCCAGTCAAGATTCGAGTCCAAGGGAGAGTCTAAATTCAGGCATCAAGTCCAAAATTCAGGCCAGATGGCCGCAGCAGCAGCAGACCCTGAAGGGAAAGTAGTGGGACACACACCATGCGGAGGTCTGGGACTGAGGAAGGCCCAAAGGTGCCAATGCAGACCTCGCAAAGGGAGGCCAGCAGTATAAAGAAGCAGGCCAGCCTCCCTTGAGGACAGATCCCCAGTAGCATTCTGGCGTGGAAGTGCTGAAGGCACTTGTGCGCTAGCTGGCTGGGTGAGTGCTGGCAGGAGAAGCTGCGCTAAGAGAGGAAGAAGGCTGGGCGCTGGTTTGCAAGTAGCAGCCATAGCTGCCCCAACTAGTTAATGTAGTTAGAGGGTTAGCAGTTAGTCTTCAGTGAGTAGCATCAAAGTAGATTCTCATAGAAGGAGTGTGCATGCATGATGAGAGAAGAGAACTGAGACAGAGATCTTGAGGGAGGGAGAGAGAGAAGGGGCAGGTGTACGATGTTGGCTATGGTGGAGACATACCTGTTGTGCGTTTAACTTGTGGCTGAGAGGTGGCGCTGGTTGAGCCAGGCCCCCCATTGCGGTTGTATGAGAGGGAGAGACATATCGCACTGTTAGTTCTTGAACTCGAGATACTCTTGTAATGTGTTGGAGATAATATAAGCTGCACATCTTGGTTCACATCTCATCTCTACTTTGTGCTGCGTGATGACTCATAACCTGTGTGATTGGTAACGTGGCATGCATTGGGATACACTCTGGCAAGTTGTGGACAGTCAGGTCCCTTGCATCGGTATGCCTCCAAAGTGGACAGGGGAGTTTCAGGTCGGGTGCAGTGTGATGAGGGTGTGTGGATTCTTCCTATTATTAGCAAATTGTCTGAAGTAAGCTCCGGTGCAGTCATGACGAGGGTGTGTGCATTCTTCCGATTATTAACAAACAAAAAAAGAAATTGTCAGCAGTATCTGTGGTCGAAGAACCGAATGCACCCTTGTCATGACTGTGTAGGACCTGAAAGAACCTGAATCCATCTTCCAGCAACGGGCACACCACCCACATATACACATTTTTGGGCCCCTGCCATAGTGGCAGCCCTGAACGTTTTTCTCTTGTCAAGTTCAATTTTTACGAGGGAAAGGGCGCGGCGTGCCACCACAGCCCGCCCTCCCAAATTTGTAATGCGCAGCAAGCATGTGACAATGACCGGGCATTCTGTTTGGGTGAGAACGGTAGGAGCATGGCCAACGGCGGAATGCACAGATGGACATATGATGTCTGCGCCCTACTCACTTGCAGAACCCAGTTATGGACGGTTTCTCATGTGAGAGTGTGTCCGATCCCAATCGGAAATCAACCCTAGACGTAGTGGTATGTGAACTTCAGGTTTCATGCAAACAAGAAGTGCATTTAAAAGAGGAAGTCACTGGATAAGAGGTAGTTGAAAGACTCCAGATCTTCTTGTTGCATGGCTAATGGCAAAATGTTCATCCTGACTTAGTTGACTTTGGGTCCCCCTTGTGGATGTTGAGTTGGTGCATTCAACAAGCAGGTGCTCTGGATGACATCAGAAGAGCAACAGATGTCGCATACAAGGCTATTGCAGAGTATGGGCTGAATTCTTCCGTGGGTCCCATTTCTATTGCAACGCTTTCCGGAGGTGGACTGGATGAGTCTGGCAACATGGGACTTCCTTGGGGAAAAGATCAGGTAACAGACCTAATCTTCACTCAAAGTGCTCTCTGATAATACCTCTTCTTTTTTTCTTCAACCTACAATACTCGTCTTTATGCATCTGGGGTATCGCAGGGCCTACCAAACATGCTGGTGTGGCAGGCTGTGTGTTATGCGATCCGTCAATCGCATGGCAAGGCTTCGGTCAGGACAGTTTGTGTCTGTCCATCATGCATTCTTTTAGCTTTTTGATTGGAGAAGGGAAGGTTCTTTTTATTGTTGTTGTTTTGGATGTGTTGTCTTTGTGTTGGTATGAAAGAAAAATTATGTGCCTCTGGTCACAAAGGGCAAGAGATTCATGGGCCACATTGTGTTTTTCTCCCCAGTGGGGGACGGTAAGATATGGGCCGGACATGTGCTTGACGCTGGCCTGACACGCGCCCGACACCGGAAAGGTGTGGCACCAGGCAAAACATTTTGTCCTTTTCCCATGGTGTTTGCAGTTTCATTGTTTTGCCCTGGTGCGCTTCATTCGGCCGGGTGCAGAAGGGCTGTGGCTAGGCGGACTATTATGTGAGCTTGGTGTGGTACTACGTGGGCTGGGTGCAGTACTGTGTTTGTGCGTGATGTTATGTGGGCTGGGTGCGATACGATCATGCCTGGATGTGGTCCTATGTGAGTCGGATGTGGCACTATGTGGGTTGGGTGTGGTACTATTTGGATCGGGGGTGGTACGCAGCGGGTTGGATGTGGTACTATGTGGGCTTGGTGTGGTATTATGTGGGTGGGATGTGGTACTTTGTGGGCTGTGTGTTACTATGTGAGCCTGGTGTGGTACCATGTGGGTGGGGTGTGGTACTATGTGGGCTGCATGTGGTACAAAGGAGTTTGGGTGTATTTCCAACTCGTGGGTGCACACTTAAGATGTGTGTGTGTGTGTGTGTGTGTGTGTGTGTGTGTGTGTGTGTGTGTGTGTTTCGTGTGGTCCGATGACGTATCAGATATTAAACTGTGTGTGTGTGTGTGTGTGTGTGTGTGTGTGTGTGTTTCGTGTGGTCCGATGACGTATCAGATATTAAACTGATCAGAACAGATACTACACTTGATCTTAGCCAAAAGGCCGAGAAAGGTATTGTGTGTGTGTTTTAGATTGTTACTCATAGCCAATCGCTCCGTACACAGACGGGCTGTCGCGCCATCCATCAGAATACAACTCTTGCCATGTAATGGACTGCTGGTCTTTCACATACCAGCCATGAACCGGACGAGCTAATGACATTCCTGTCTTTAACACAAAGCAATCACTTAATTTCTAGAAACACATAGGCTGGAGGCCATGGTCGAGGCAGGAGGGCAGACAACAAACAAACACACAAGGCAGGGAAAAGACAACAAGCAGCAGACAAGAAACAGGCAGGTAAAAACATCACAAGGCATTAGCAGGGAAGCAACACATGGGCTGGAAGGTATGGGGGAGAGGGAAGGGCAGACAATACACAAACAACAAGACAAGGAAGAGGCAACAAGCAGCAGGCAAGTGTAATGAACTCCGTTCAGATCCGCACCGAAACGGGCAAGGGTCGTCACTTTTGGTCAAGGGCCAGAAACAGGGGTCAAAAGCCATGTCCCAAGTCTGAGAAATGTCTGAGAAAGTGCCTAGGGCCAAGGGGTACCAAGGTCTGAGTCAAAAGTCGTGCCGAGTACCAAGAGTCAACCCCAGCACGGGATTCCAGGCCCAAAGTCAAAGTCAACCCGCTGGTCAGCCACGGCCGTAGATCAGATGCACATCATTAGTTGTCTGCAGGTATCCATAAGGCTTCAGTCCAAATGGGACACAATGGAAATTGGGAACTGTACTGCATCCAGGCCATTGACTTTCGATTCATCTGGGCCGTCGACCCAAGGAGACTGGAGGCTGGTCAACGCGAGTCAACCCTACAAAGAGTTGACCAGATCCTGTGGAGATGATTCTGCCTTGCGCTGCCTTGATGCTAGTATTGTGACGCGAGGCTCCTGGAGCTGTATGCTGGCGCCAGATGCTGGGAGGGGGCGCTAGCCTTTGAGGGAGATTATGTTGGCGCGGCCATAGCCGCGTAGATGTAGATGTAGTAGTGAATCTAGTGATTATTGGCGAGGAGGAGAAGGATCAGGGCTGTGAGACTGACGTGGGATGTGGGGAAAGCTTGCCTGGACTTACCTGATGACGACATGTATGATCTGCTGCTGTCTCCACGAAGGTGAGGAAGTGCTGCGCCGTCCTCAGATTGATTGCTGATGTGGATGGAGAATGGGCGCCCAGTTCTGATCTGCACGGCGGTTATATCAGAAGACGTCAGAGGGAACATGCAATGCTGAGGTGGCGTTGGGGGAGAAGCCTGAAGTAGCAGTGGGAGAGGGGAAGACATACATGAGCTATTGATTACCATCTAGACTCTCTTCCTCCTCTTCTCTGTCTCATCTCTTCCCTTACTCTTCTCTTATGCTCTTCTTTGACGGGATAATACTCTTGGAATGTGCAGTTGATCGAGGCTTGGACATGTAATTGATGATTGGAGACTTCATGAGGTACGCGGGGTTCAGACTTCCATTGCATTGCCGATTGGCTTCCATTGCATTGCCGATTGGCTTTCCTACGAGACTGGGTCCATTACAATTCGGTATTGGAGCGATATGTTACTACCTCGCGTTCTGCTACTTGTGACATTGAGCGGTATGATGATGATAATGATGATGATGACAACGAGGATTTGGTGCGTTGGCCGTGGAGGAGAAGAGGGGCATTGTCGTTTGTCGCTGCTTGACACGTCATCGGCAGGCGTAGAGCTACCAGTGCCATGTGGCGAGGCAATTCTTGACGAGGCACTGGACAGAGAGAGACTGGCGAGAAGAGAGTAGTGCTGACATGGAATGAGGAGGGGACGAGAAGGCACTTACTGTCACTTACCAAGTGGGGACGTGATCGGCAGCTTACAGTGGAAGTGGAAGACCCCTAGCTGACGACATCTGCACTTGAATGCTGACAGGGACAGAAACTTGCTGACGTGGCAGGCACTATTGTGCCATTGTATACACCTCCTGCTGTTGCATTCTTTGCTGAGTGGCATGCTGCCCTGTTGAGGTGGCATTTCACACAGGTGCTGATGTGGCACCTCCAAGAGTTATAGCGAGATACTCAAGCTGACGTGGCATTATCCCTAAGAGCAGTGTGATATCTCCATAGGTGCTGATGTGGCACCTCCAATAGGTATAGCAAGGTACTCAAGCTGATGCGGCATTATCCCTGAGAGCAGCGTGGTATCTCCATTGACATGGCACCTTCCAAGGGAAAGAGAAGCAGATACGGTTCTGAGCAGTATTCCAGTGCTGACGATCTGCAGGGCTGTTATGTCAGAAGATGTCAGACGGAACATGCAATGCTGAGGTGGTGTTGGGGGAGAAGCCTGAATTAGGAGTGGGAGAGGGAAAGACATACATGAGCCATTGATTACCATCTAGACCCTCCTTGTTACATGCCGAGCCTGCACGCGGTCCCCGTTTTGGGGGCCCGACGGTTGCTGGGGGGCGCCCAGGCCGCACACCCCTCAGACGCGTGCCCTGAAGACCCACTGCTGGCCTTATGTATTTAATTGCTGTCCTATTTTTGTGTGTTCAGGCCTGGGCTATCAGACCCGCATGGGCCTGGCCGCCTGGCCGGGCAGCCGGGCCAGTGCGACTTGGACCCTCTTGCCCGGGTCACCCGGGCGAGTAAAAAAAATAGTCAAAACTTCCCCCCCCCCCCCCCCCCTGATCATGGGGCATTTTTGCGCCCTCCGAGAGGTACCCAAATCCGGTCTTTTTTTTGGGGGGGTTCATGTTGTTTTGGAGGGTCGGGGGGGAGGGGGTAAGGGTCTTAAAGGGGCTTGAAAGGGGTTGAAAGGCCTTTGAAGGGGGTGAAATGGTTTTCCTTACATTATTTTATTTTTATTTCAAATTCTGTGAAGATTTTGGAAGTGACCCTCAGCCAAAGTTGTTTTACCCAAGAGCCTAGCTCAGTGGGTACACCATTGAACTGTCGAAATACAGACCCGTGTTCGAACCTAGATGATGGAACTTAATGAGTAAACCAACTACTTCTGAATTGCCTGGGGCCGGTCAGCTCAATGATGATATCTCAAGACCATCACCCTTGAAAAAAGAAAAAAAAAAAGTAGTAGTTTGCTTTGCTATTCTGCACAACATATGTTTTTTTTTCTTTTTTTTTGGGGGGGTGGGATATGGGCCAGGACCCCCCCAGCCTAGTTGCCCAGCCGGACGTCCTGGGCAGGTCCCGCGCCAGCTTTGGGGACCTGGGCGACACGGCTGGTAGCCCAGGTTCAGGCGTCGTTTCAGACTTGCAGTTCGTTCGAACAGACTTTCGGTCTTTTCGGACAAAGGCCACATTTCTGGCCTGGTACGGATGCAAGCAGGCTCTTTCGGCCCAGGTCCAGTTTCGTCCGGTAGTGGACGCTTCCTGCTGCATCAGCAGGGAGGGTGTGACGCACGTGCAGAGGGCACGTGCGGAGACAGTGGGAGAGAGAGAGAGAGAGAGAGGAGATGGACACATACGATAGCAGCAGCTGAGTGAAGGTCCTGTCCGCATCAGTGAATGAACGAACAACTGAAAGAATGACCAACCCGGCCTGGGCCTAGGCCGCAGAGATATACCGGCCTTGGTTCAGGCCGGAGTAACCCGGTACCGGACCAGGGTCACGCCGACGGCCTGAAACAGGTCCGGCCTCACTGGAGGGCCGGAGGGTACCGCTACATGATCGTCGGACCTGTAAATGGATCAAGTGATTCATCAACACGTTTTCCACTGAAATAGTGGACACCCAGAGGAACGACAAAGAAACAATCCTAAATGCGGAGCAAGCTCCGTGCAGAAAAGAGATGCAATGCATACTAAGCCTCAAGCCTAATCTATACAACAATGGCTGGTCCGAGTCAACCCAAAAAGCAGAAAAATGTCTGACCTGTGTCGGCGAAGAAAGAGAGAAATGAACAAGCCGAATGTACAA